AAAAAAAAAGAAAAGTGACCATTGTACAACAACGTGTGAAGGTACTTAATGACATTGAATCATACACTAAAAATGGTTAATAATATTATGTTATGTATCACAATAAAATTTTGAAGACAGTAAAAACGGGAAAATACTGTTAACAGCCCCAGTAACAGTGGCATCAGCAAAGGGAGCCTTTGCAAAATTAAAAATTATTAAATACTACTTGCCACCATGCATGTGCCAAGAGCTACTGACAATGTTTACAGTTATATTGATGTAAAATGTAGCTGTTAAAAGTATTAACTTTAATGACCTAATAAATGACTTTTCAGAAAAGCAAGCAGAAAAATCTTATGATCCAGCAAGATACCACATATTAAACTATTATGTATTGTATTATATACAACGATGACACCAAAAGTTTTTTTTAAACTCCTTTTGGCTGCCCCCAAATCTAATGTCTTTATTTTTTTTCCTGCCGTTTTGGCCAGGACCAGGTTTGAACCCGCCACCTCCAGTATATGGGGCTAGTGCCCTACTCCTTTGAGCCACAGGCATCACCCTACACCAAAAGTTCTTAAGTTTGTTTATATTGATATTCATGTATCACTATTGCCTCTATTATATTTTATAAACTATATAAACTTTTTAAAGTTTTATATTTAGTATTTTAATGCCATTTCCCCCCTGCTTTTTGAAAAGAAATTCTGTGCTTTTGTTCTGATTGGGCCTCATAAATTATGTAGCTGGCCCTGGTCCCAGCTTTACTATTGATAGTCTGTCCAGCTTTGGCCAAGTCATTTAACCTCTGCCTCAGTTTTTCCACCTCTCAAATGGGAATGATATTTGCCCTGCATCATAGAATTGATATAAATATTTGTGTATGTGTGTATAAGAAAATGGTTTGAAAACATATAGGTATTTTAACATATTGGTTGGCTTTGTTGTTAATATAATTTTTTTTTTTTTTTAAGAAATAGGACCTTGCTATATTGCCCAGGCTGGTTTAAACTCTGGACTCAAGTGATTCTCTGACCTCAGCCTCCCGATAGCTGGGGGTATAGCTGTGAGCTAATATCCCCAGCTAATTTATTTGTTTTTATTTTATTATTATTTTTTTAGAGACAGAGTCTCACTATGTTGCCCACCCTAATATGAATAACATTTTTTTTTTTAAGAGACAGAGTCTCACTTTGTCACCCTGGGTAGAGTGCTGCAGCATCACAGCTCACAGCAATCTCCAGCTCTTGAGCTTTAGGTGATTCTCTTGCCTCAGCCTCCTGAGTAGCTGGGACTACAGGCACTTCCCACAATGCCTAGCTATTTTTTTGCTGCAGTTTGGCCAGGGCCAGGTTTGAACCCACTACTTATATGAATAACTTTTAATCACTACCTTTTCTCAGTCTGAGGTGTTAGCCAAATACATTTCTTATCTGAAATGAAGACATTTCTAAAATTCATTAATTCATTAGTTTCTTTCTTTTTTTTTTTTTTTTTTGAGACAGAGCCTCAAGCTGTCACCCTGGGTAGAGTGCTGTGGCATCACAGCTCACAGCAACCTCCAACTCCTGGGCTCAAGCAAATCTCCTGCCTCAGCCTCCCAAGTAGCTGGGACCACAGGTGCCCGCCATAATGCCCGGCTATTTTTTGGTTGCAGCCATCATCATTGTTGTTTGGCAGGCCCAGGCTGGATTCGAACCTGCCACCTTTGGTGTATGTGGCTGGCGCCTTAGCCACTTGAGCCACAGGTGCCAAGCCAATTCATTAGTTTCTATAGAGACTTCCAGCCATTTGAGAAAGCTAAATGATTTATTTGGTCCATAAAGATATCATGTTTATAGACTACTGATCTTATAGATAGTATTTCTTTACACGACTGAAAGTAAAGTATAAACTAAAAGTGATACCAAACGCTAGACTCTAGTGAACAATCTTGAAAGCCTAAAATCTCAAATAGGCTTTCTATTTACTAAACCCCTGGCTTTTAAGTAACTCAAAGGAAAAACAATACTAGCCCCCAGAACAGTCCCTGGGCCATCTATAGGTCTTGTAAACCAACACTGCTGAGTGTAAAAAAAGATGCTGCTGGAAATAGCAGCTGAAATGCTCTGGCACCCAGATGGCTGTTTAGGAGGTTGCCAGACTGGAGGACTTATGAGTCTGAGAGCAAGGTAAGGACCAGTGCAGAAGCTGGGGTCTCCAATTTGAACCCCTACTTGATGCACACTCAGACCGTGTTCCCTGATGATACCCTGTGAGGCACTGTTCACGCTCATCATTTCCCGAGCCCTTGACACATCATCCAACTCTCCCTATGGACTATGTGGCGCTGACTGGTGAGGGTGTGGCTAGGACCTTGGAACAAGCTCTCGTGTTGAGACACTGGCCCTGGAGAGCCACATTTGTAATTGATCAGTAGGTTAATAGGCAGGTGAGCACAGAATCCTGAGCGATGCCTGAGTCCTAGAAGCTGGCCAACACTTCCCTCCTCCAGGATGGTGGAATCCACTCTGAAGTGCTCTCTCTTCCCTGGCCATCCCTGAGACAGGCCCTCCCACTGCTAACCTTTGCCCTCTTTCTAATTGCCCTGACCTCATCCCAGCCTCCATAGCTATGTTTAAAGTCCACCTCTTAGGAACACAGATTGAATGTTCCAGATAATCCCTTTCCCAGCCCTGCCTGACATCTGGCTGGGTGGGGGGGGGAGTACTTTTTACCTGAACTTCTTGGGAACTGGCTAGGGTTTAGGAGAGAACTCTTCCCACCTGGCTGGAGGATGAAGCTGGCCACTGGCTTTGTGATTTTGTGGCTCAGCCTGGGCAGTGGCCTGGCTCAGAGTGCCACCAGCCCTGATGAAGAGGAGTCCTATTCTGACTGGGGCCTTCGGCACATCCGGGGAAGCTTTGAGTCCATCAATAGCTACTTTGACTCTTTTCAGGAGCTTCTGGGAGGAAAGAATGGAGTCTGCCAGTACAGGTGCCGATACGGTGAGTGTATGTTTCTCTTCCTGTAAAAACCGTCTCTGGTGACCTGTGCGCAAACCCAGACGGTCACACTCTGCCGTGCACTTTTCCTGTTATCCACCTCTTAGGTAAGGTTGCCAGATTTAGCAAACAAAAGGGCAGGATGCCCGGTGAAATTTGAAGTCCAAATAAACAACGAATAGTTTATTAGTCTAAGTATGTCCAGTGAAATATTTGGGACATACTTATGCTGACAAATTACTCGTGGTTTATCTGAAACTCCCCAATTTCCCGGAGCTTCTTGTATCCTGGGAAACCTGCCCTGGAGGCAGGTACTTTGGGGAAGGCAGCATGTGGGGAGGAGTTCCTAGGGAGGAAGACCAAAGTTGAAGATTCAGAGAAGGTTCTGCCAGAGGGTGAAACACCTTCCTCAGTGGCTCTGTGCTCAGCATGGAAACAATTTCTCCCCCACCCCCCACCAGTGCCGTCCACACTTTTGACCGAGCTCTGTCAGTCTCTGATTCGCATTGGTGCGCCTGATCCTCCCAAGGGATTGTCCCTGCACCCCTGTCTCAGGGGGCAATGGCAGGCCAAGCTGTCCAGAGGTAAGTCATGCTGCCACCAGGGACCCGCCTCAGGCCTGGCACCAGAGCAGTGGCACACGCCTGACTACCAAAGTGAAGTCCCTGGCCCAGTCCTTCCCTTGCACAGCGCTGGCAGTTAGCGTGATGGGAGCAGCATACCGAGTCTTGGACCTCAAAGCTGGGTGACATGGTGTAATTTCAAAAACAGATGAAAATGAAAATGTTTTCCGAAGTATATGCCATCTCCTGTAGCATTAGTTTTATGGTTTATCAGATGTCCCATCATAGGATTTGAAATAAAAATGATGAGTCAGTTTAGCCTAGCAGGAAAACACAAGCAATATTATCTGCAAACACTGACCAGATAAAACTCCGTTTTCAAGACAGACATGAAAAAAGCTACAGACTTGCTGGACTCACCCCGTAAGTCTCTTTCCCTTTTTATCTTTGAGCAGGGAAATCATTTCCTTATGTGCTAAGAGTGGCCAGGAGATAATGGTTAATCATTGCTCTGGAACCAAAACTTTTGCAGCATAGAAGTTTTAACCACATAGGAATATAGGAATAAGGTTAAAAAAAAAAAAGACACTGTGTCTTGTCTGTGTGCATCGCTAGCATTTCACAGGGTAAAAAGCCTCCTGGTCCGTCAGGACCCACCAGGACCCCAACCTATGTATTTGTCCAAAATGGGGTGACAAATACAGAGACCTTGTCCTCACATAATGGGCCAGGGAAAGGGTTAAGTCACTTTAGGCAGCGGAATCAACACAGGGGTTCTCCTTCCTAGTGGTTTAGCAAATGGATAACAGGGGAATGATTTAGGACAGTGGTTCTCAACCTTCCTAATGCCGCGACCCTTTAATACAGTTCCTCATGTTGTGTGGACCGCCAACCATGTAGTAGCAATGAAAATAATCTGTGGTTGACAACCACTGGTTTAGGAAGTCAAGAACCAAACCTCTTCTTTCTTCTCCAGCAAAACAGCATTACAAGATTCCAGCAAATTTTAGTTTCAGAGCCTGGGCAGGGTCCATGTCAGTAGCCACTGGTGGGGACAGGAATAGTCAACGGGAAAGCAAATACTTCCTGTCCCTTTTGCGCAAAATCACCTGTCCGAGTAGGGGCCTGGAAAACACTTAGGAAAACAGAGGGTTAAGGCCTTTTACCTTTGGAACCTCTGGGAGCCAAGAAGCTGGAGGTTGTGACCACATAGCACAAAACTTCTTCTCAAATGGATTGTGGATCAGCACTCGTTGAACACCTGATCAATCCCCAACCCTGTCTCTGGTCTTTCGTAGTGTGCTTTATATCACATCTCCCTTTAGGGATTCTCAAACTCACCTGTGCATGGAAGCCCCAGGGGGGTGCGTTTAAACTGATTGCTGAGCCCACCCCTGGTATTTCTGATTGGCTGTCGGGTCAGTGGGGCCAGGGAGCTGCATTTCTACAAGTTCCTGGGTGGTCCTGATGCTTCTGCTTTCAAGACCCAATCCTTTGCCAGAGGAAACAATTTAGTAACAATCTACAGGAAAAAATGTTACATTCGATGGACATTAACCACTGTTTAAAACTGTGGCTCTCTAAGTGGGCTACATGTTAGAACCACCTGGGGGCTTTAAAAACTCCTGGAATCAAACCAATTAAGTGAGAATTTCTGTGGGTTGGACCCCAGATAGTAGTATTTTAACAGTTCCCAGGTGCAGCCACACAGTACAGGTGAACTATTCTACAGCGTCATTCTTAGTGAACTTTAGCTCATAGCTCAAATTATTTAGGCAGGTAAAGGTGTGTTTGTGTCCTGGTAGCCCACCATTGTGTGTCAATATTGTTTCCCAGACTTCTCATATCTAAAGTAATTTGTTTCCCAGTGTGGGTTTTAGGAGTGCTGAACCCCTGCACAGTCAAAAATGCACATAGAATTTCTGTATCTCCAAAAACGTAACTATTGATATCTTCCTGTTGACTAGAAGCCTCACCAATAACATAAAGAGTTGATTAGTATATGTTTTGTTTTGTTTTGTTTTTAATGCAGTTTTTGGCCAGGGCTGGGTTTGAACCCGCCACCCCCGCCATATGGGGCCAGCACCCTACTCCTTTGAGCCACAGGCACTGCCCACCTAGTATATGTTTTTTTTCCTTTTTTTTGTATTATGTACTGTATTTTTGTAATAATCTAAAAAAAAGAAAATGTTATTAAAATCATAAGAAAACAAATTTGCTTCTCAATAAATGAAAAAAAATAATTTGTTCCCATGTCAACACACAAAATCTGTACTTGTCCTTTGATTGGGCTGTAAATATGATGTAAATATTCAGTGTGTGTCAGTGGCATACATGGCCTTCAGGAGTCTGCACCAATGAGAACAAGATTCTCTTGAGACTCTTTAACATATAGAACTCCTTTCCCAGCCCCAGAGATTCAGATTCGGTAGGTCAGAGGTAGGAGCCTCAGACTGCACTTTTAACAAACTGGTGGTCCTTGCGCCCAACTTTGAGAACCACTAGTAATGGGAAAATCATGGATTTGAATTTGAGGAGGAAATCCCATTGTTGGTGGCCTCTGGCAGTCACCTTATGCTCTCAACCTTAATTTCCTCGTATATAAGAAAATAATGTTGATAAAACCTACCTCACAAGGCTGTTATGAGAATGAAGGATAATACACATAGAGAATTAGTGATATGTATGGAGCATGGTAGGTAACATACAAATTTTAGAAATGTTATGAGATAGACAGTCTAGTCAATGGGTTAACTGCATTTGGATTCTCCCAAGTTCTCTTTCAACATAAAATTTTGAAAATCTCAGAAATCCTAGTGGCTGGACAACAGCCTCTCGGCTTCTGGGTAATGATTTAAGTGTCCTCTGCCTTAGAATGATCTCTGGAGCAGAGTTTCTGAAGGAATCTTAGACACTGTGTCCAGGGGTGTCCTCCCTCTACACACACCTCTGCCACACATTATAAGAATAAGAGTTGTCTTGAGCCACACATTCAATACACAAATGCTAACGAGAGCTGATGAGCAAAAATGGCTGTCCATAATTTTCATGATACCCAACACCCCAGATAAGAAAAAAAGTGTCCTCACAAAATCAGCGTGTGCCCCTTGCCCCCACCCCAGCAGCAGGTTGGACACCCTGGCTTATACCATCGCACTTTAGTAAGAAGACCTTGTGATGAATTTCTTCTTGGGTTTACTTCCAACAAAAAAGGTTTCTTTAAAAGTATCTTTTTAAAAAAGTATCTTTAAATATCAGGGGTTTTCTTTGCAGTTTTTTGGCTGGGGCTGGGTTTGAACCCGCCAACTCCGGTACATGCGTCCAGAGCCCTACTCCTTGAGTCATGGGGGCCGCCCATATCAGTCTTTTTAAATTAAATTAAATTTATTTATTTATTTATTTATTTATTTATTTATTGCAGTTTTTGGCCAGGGCTGGGTTTGGACCCACCACCTCCGGCATATGGTGCCAGCACCCTACTCCTTTGAGTCACAGGTGCCGTCCCTCAGCCTTTTTTTTTTTTAAAAAGAGATCTTTTATCTGTATGAAATCTTAGAGCAAAATTTTATGAACCTCTGAATTTGTATATTTTGGCAGGGAAAGAGTTCATAACCATCATTAGATTTGGGGGGGACCGTAGCCCCCCAAAAGAAAACAGTGACTGGCTTAGAGGCATATGGATTGTTCTCTCACTAGAATGACCAACCTCTTAGTTTGCTGGAGAGTAAGGGAGGAGGTGGGGGTTCCTAGGATGTGGGGCAGTGCCAGGTAAACCAGGGGCAAGTTGGCCTACCCTACCTCTGCAGTAAGTTAGTGACTAAAACAGAGTGCATGGCTTCAGTAAAACCGTCACTGTTCTGTTTTGTTCTATCAATGCTATATTTGAGTATTTCTGGAATGAGAGAGGGTATACATTTTGAATAAAGTATATAGACGCCTTATTAGCATCTCTAGTGGAAATAACCGGGTGGGGAGAATGGACAGACTCTTCCCCCAAAACATAATTCTTTTTTTTTTT